AGCGAGGCGATCTCGCTCTGCCCGTCGTTGAACCACTTCCGAAAGGAGGTGAGAGGGAGTACCTGCAGCGACCTTAGTGCAAAGGTCCCAGGGGGAGGTGAGGAGCAATGTAACGTCCTCCTCCCCCGTGGGGCCTGCAGAGAGAGAGAGGGCCCTCTCCACAATCATCTGGAAAACCTGAGTAGGGCGATATGACAGAACCACCGCTCGGGGCGGCCCTTCAGGGACGCCTAGTACGCGGTCCAAGTCCTGAGTAGGCCTACAACGGGCCATGAAATCCACGATTGCTTGCTTCCCGGGCCGCTGTACGTCCACTTGTTCCTCCTCAAAGGAGCGGCCCGACCCCCTGAGGATCGGGTCTAGTAGCACTCCTGCAAGAACCTCGCCATCAGATTGCAGGGGTCCTATGCCGTGCTCGAAAATAGGCAAGGTCACCTCTGACCAGCGCCAACCACAACAATTGCAGTCCTGTACACGAGCGCTCTTCAGGACCCAGTGGTGCGTCAGGCACAGTCTTGACAATAGTCGTGGTTCCAGTCGCCTCGGCATTCTTCATGCCACACAGAATGCTTGTGGGCTGCGCACATCAACCGAGTTACTGCTGCGCCCCAGTCGCCTGCCAAGGAAGGTGCTCCCTCGCACCAGTTGGCCAGTCTGCTGGAGCAACACTTCTTCAGAGAGCTGGGACATGAACGACTTTCTCATTTCATCAGTGCCTACGACCAACAGATCATCGATACGCCAACACTTACAATTTTCCAGATTTGTGGCGACACAGACTCGGGTCTGATTTGCACCTTCTGAATCCCAATCTCAAGGTCATTGGCTCGGCAAAAATGTTCTTGCGACAGCTTAAGCACCGCGCTGGGCGGCGCCTGTCCCAATCCGTACTTTGCGTTCTTGAGTAGCCACAAGCATTTGCGCTCCGGATAAAGGTCTTTTGGAGGCCAAACGCACACTTCACCAGACATTGCTGCAAGAAGGCAGTGCTGACATCACCCAGAGTGATGCCCCAGTTTCCTGCCTTTGCCACGCACAACAGCAACCGCGTGACAAGGGAAGGTGTCGAAACGAACAGGATGTCCTCTTCACCCTTCTCCACATTCTGGGGACAACCACGCACGACAACTCTGTTCCTCAATTCTCATTCTCACCTTCCAAACTTTGACCCATCTGCAGTCGAGGGCCTCATCAGTTTGCTCCTGGGTCCTCGTCACACAAGTCGAAGTTCTTCATTGGGTTCATGTCTTTCATCATCCCTTTCTTTTCTGCCTCAGGCGGAAACTCACGCTCCCAGAGCAGTGGCTCGGAGCATTTCTTGGCCGAGCTCGCCTTGCTCGACACTCACTTCGACATCAATCTTCGTGTCATCCTTTCCAAGAACCTCGTCAACTCCAACAATCGATAATCGAAGCAAGCCATTTACAAGCGTCAGAACTCTTCCTTCGCTTGGTAGATGGCTCGCTGGAGCATCAGGATCAATCCTGGCACTCTTGATGGGCGCTTCCTCACTCGCCTCAGGAGCCTCATTTTCAATCACGGCCGGGACCCGATCAGTGCCGACCACTCGCATTCCCAAGAATCACTTCATCAGCTATACTGCGTCCTTTGCAAGGTACACTCCAGCGAACCATTGCGATCCTGCCTTGGGAACACGCAGTTTCTTGCTCACAAGCATTATTGCGTCAATCAGCTCACCAAACATGCACAGTGCTCCACCATAGTCTCGATTCCACCGACGGTGTAGGCGGTCTTGCCGTCAGTGCCATTCAAGTAGCCATGTGAACTTTGCAGACTCCGAACACATCTTCATGCCACTTCATTCTTCAACAAGAGAATTGAGTTAGCAGTCTTCTCAGTTGCCCATAGAGTCATAGAGCATTCTCTGGGCATTCCCAACAGTGTCTTGTCTTTGGAAGTGTTTAGCAGGAGGTGCGCGCATTGACAACCTTCCGATCGTCTTGCACAGGTCGTGCCATTGACTTCAGCGGCGCTTCCTTGTCATACTGGACAATCCCGAAGGCCCTGCCAATCTCTAAAATTCTCAAAACCAAATCTTCTCAACTCGGCCACGGCGCATTTCTCAACGCTGCTTTTCGAAGGCAAGGCTACCTCCATTGAGTATCCAATCTGGACATCTGCGGCGTTCAACACGGTCCTTCCCAGCAGATCATTCTCCGTCGCCATGTATGGGAAGTCAATCTGGGTCACTGGTTGTCGACCCTTCTTCTTCACTGCATGACTCTGTCTGCCTGTCGATCGCACACAGTGCTCGCACCAATCCCTGTACAGCAAGTGAGTCAGCTCGCACAGTCGCCTTCAATGCACTCCTGTCCTCAGTCTCCTGCTCGGCATTTTTGCCAGCAGTTGGGCTGTCAACATGCACAAGCAATGTGTATCCAATCCACTTGTAGCCAGTGGGGCCTGTAGGGTCCTCACACTTCTTCACTTTACCATCCTGCATCTCAATGTCTGCCTATTCATTCTGATGGCAAGCATCGATTATTTCCGGGCCACTTGAATCGAAGAACACTGTACACCGATCAACCCACAAGCAGTCACTCAAACAGGAGAACTTGCAACGTCAGGATGGAAGTAACAGTCACGCCATTCATGGTGGAATCTGGCAATCTTCTCCACTACCGCGGCAAGATCAAGCAGTCCTTGGTGAGGCGGCTCACCCTCCCCTGTCTATCCAACTCTTCCAGCCCAACATTCACCTTTGCACGGCTTTTGGCAATTGTCGCATTCGGCGGTTCCATTTCCACAACATCAGCATGTGCCGTCTCAGTCGGCAATTTGCCAATCTGCGGGTCATACGGACGAGTTCCACTTTTCCGCATGCCTCAGTAGGGGCTTGTGCTTCAGTCCGAATTCAACCGGTCCTTTCCGATCGTTGGGATCATTTGGCCTGGTATTTGCTACTTGCACGAAATTTTCATCCCTGTCAGTGACAGTCGACCCGTCGTCTTTGTATTTCTTGAGGGTCACTCTTCCGCCAAGTCAGCCTCGACACTTGTACTGGCAACGTGTTTGCCAATCTGTTCTTGGGTCAAAGCGTTCTCTCCTCCAGACCTTCACACGACGAAGCAACTTCAATTCAGGCTCATTCACTTCCCAGTTGTCCCAACGGGAACCATTCGATTCCTTCATTCCTTCAGCTGCTGCAATCAAGGTGCCAATTTGATAAAGGTGGTTAACGCTCAACTCTAAGGCACCAAGATCTTGTTCCCTCACCGACATTACCTCTGGCAAACAACTCGCTGCCAATCTCGCCGCCTTCGCCACGGCATACGGAAGTACAGGCGGTGTCAAAAAACCAGTGTGCCTTGTCACACAATCGGCACAGGCTTGCCAGTTGAGTGAATCAAGGCAAGGCAGCCTTGTGCCATCATAGTCCAAAAACCTTGCAACAACAGTCTTGCAACACTGACCGGTGGAATCGGTATGTCAGAGCACAGATAAAACCAACAATGCGCGCAGGCACCACTGTCGAACAGTATCCAAGTCCTGTCGACCAGTCCAGCTTGCATGTGAAACTCCACCACTCTGTCATCAAACCCAACCGGATCAAGCTCTAGAAAATTCGGCAAATCTTTGGTTGGCAACAGCGGCACTCCAGCACTAAATGTGCCAATCAACAAGCACGCGCTAACGACAAAGCTGGTCATCAGCCCTGGCTTTGCACTGCGGACCGTCCTCCCAACTCGGGGCGCACTCTGATCCGAAGGTTCGACAGTAACAGCTGAGACATTGGGTTGTGGTTAAAAAACTAGTGAGCTCGAGGCACCATTCGAGACCTGCTGTGGCTCCGGACTCCACCAATCCTGAGTGTTCCATTCCTCCGGCAGTTATCGCCAGTCGTCATCGTACCAAGACCAGTCAACGGATCAATCATCAAGAGAACCTATCCACTTTTGACTCCAGTCAGTTTCATCCCAGGACCAATCATCATACGACCAGCCGTCCTGATTGCAATCATCGCTCCATTCATGTCCTTTCTGATTCTCATCCTTAGTCACCCCTGACATTTTGCCTGTTCCTTTCGTGCATTCCTTACTTCAGTGGTTTGGATCACCACATAGAAAGCATCCTGGGCCTTTTCCTGCTCCTCTCATTCCTTGTTCCTTCTCCTTGTTCCTTCTCCTTTATATCCGCTCTGTCCTTGGCCTTTTTCCTTCATAGGTTCCTTTGCCTTTGAAACCTTTTCCTTTCCCTTTGTACATTCCTTGACCTCCTTTGTGTCCTTTTCCTTGCCATTGTCCCTTCCTTCCTTTCCCGCAAGTGCTAGTGCTGCTGCAATAGACTAACAGTCTTCTACACTAATCAGCAACGTAACCAAGAGGTCATCATCCATCCAAGTGGTCATTTCGCAAGCGGAAGCCAATGATCTCATTCAAAAGATTCGTGGATCTCGCTCCTTCAAGCAGCGCAAACTGTTTGTGCAGTCTTCGCCAAATACCAAATCCTTTCCCCATGCCTCATAGCGAACAATCGCTCTCGCGGTGCCATCAATGATTTGCACCAACATATAACACAGTTGTCGAGAAAGCAGTGGAAACTGATCATTGCGTTTGCTGGGCTTCGCACAGGTCACATCAATCACTCAGTTGGATCCTTCAACATCATCCATGAGCCGCTTGGCCGATCTTGCACCTTGTTCCAACGTCCATTCTCTTTCACTCTTTCCCTGTCTCAGGAACCGAGGCTTCCCTACCATGCAAAACTCCACAGTACAATTCACACTATCACGAGCAACCAAGATCAATCATTTTCTCCAGTCACACACACTCATGCAGACGTCCGGCCGATCTGTCCAGCCAATGCCATTCGGCATCAAGGCATTCGGCATCATGTTCGTTGGGTGCATGATTGGGCTCATGTCATGTAGCAGAGAGCGAGAGCGAGCGAGGGAAGAAGGAGGGAGGGAGGCAGGGAGGGAGAACTCTTCTTGCGGCCTCCCGTGATACTGCACTCGATCTGTGAACATGATCATTTGACTAGGTCTTTTGCTTGGGGAGGGGCAAGGCCTCCTTGGTGCAGTGCACGTAATCCCAGTATGGCTGCAGGTTCGACACTGAGCTTGTCAGGTTCTCGTACATGTTGAAGCACGTATCGAATCCCTCCACACGGAGAGTCTCCATCACCTGAGTGTTGTTGAGGGAGAGAAGTGCATGGGACCTGCTTGCAGCCAGCCCCAAGACCTGCAGAAGACATCAGAAGACTGCAGACTGCAGAGGCAACAGTCCCCTGTGATTGCATGCATCCATGTGGTGTATCCTGAGGCCACGCACGACAAGCTGTATCGCACCGTTGTCCGCGGAGGAAAAGCCTTTGGGCCGGCGGTCGTAGTACTTGGCCCAGCGCATGAGGAAGTCCCGAGAGAAGGGTGTGTTTCGAACCATGTAGTTGCCTGAAGCTCTCTCCGGCTCTCGCTCTTCTGCAGTAATGGAAGATAAGGAAGGGCTCTTCCGTACTTGTAGCACAAATTGTAGGGATGCGCTGCAGACTTCTTCCAAATAGTCAAGCCGGCTGGCCGGCCATGATCTCGTGAAACAAGCAGCCTAGGAGAACTCACATGTGCTCACCTTACAATCGAAAGGCACGTCCGTCGCCCAGAGATCCTGAGCTCGAAGCGGTTGTAAAGCTGCACGTCCGCCCCATGGTCAATCCACGCGTCCTCCGGCTTCAAACTCAAGATCGACAAGGGCTTTCTGTCCCCTTCTGAGGTCGCCGCCAGGCCCCTCTTTGGTGCTGCAGCCACGACATCGCCATCGAAGACCGCTGCAATGTAGTGGGCCGGCTGGGTTTCCAGCCACTTCGACACAGTGCAATGCTTTCCTTGGAGTGCCAAGCTGGGTGCGTTCTCTGGGTGCCTGTATGAGCGAGCGGTCTTGCGGCACGGGGTCTGAAGAAGAAGTCCTTGAAGCGTTTGCACTCGCCATACTCGGAAGCCGTGAGGAGGTGCATGTCATAGCCGTGCCTGCACCAGGTAAGGACATGCGAGACAGCTTGCCGTCTCCAAACAGCGTGCCTGTCAGCATAGCACCTCAGGCTCTTGATCTGCGCCTGATAGCGGCCTGAGAACCCGAGGTCAAAGCCAAAAGTTTGAACAGGGTTTCCCAGCCCTTACTTAAGCCATGGGGCGCTGGAAGGAAGGATCTCCCACCTGGAGCATGAAATCGCGGCAGTTCAAGGCAGCCCCTTAAAGCGAAGTGCGGCCCAAGGCACCACGACGACACCGACATTCCTCCGCGTCGACCGCAGCTTTCCAGCCCTCGCAAGCCCTGCAGCAGGTACAGCCGGGCACAGCCGGGTAATTACAGCACAGCACACATCCAGCAGAGTTTGGAGAGAGCGGAAGTTTGGAGGCGCCTTGGAGCGAGGCGAAGGTGAGGAGGCCCAGGGCCACGGCCAGGGGCTCTGGAAACTTCATTCTGCACGGACTCGTCGCAGAGGCCGGAAGAGAGCCAGAGGCCGGCGGCTAAGCCAATAGCTTAAAGACTTTAGGCGTACCGCGAAAACGCGAAAACGAGGCAGTGCTCTCTCCTTTGTCACGCCGCCGCTGGCACCAGCTCACAAATCGCCACTTTGCACCTTCGAACGGGTGAGAACGCTGGGCGGGTGTAAAACCTGCCAGGCTGCCTGCAACGAAGTTTGGGGAAGGTGGAGGGAAGAGTTGGCATCCTATGGCCCTGTGGTATCCTCCAACCGTTCGGGGGAGCTCTGGCAGGGTGAGAAAGGCCTAGGAAGCGATGTCTCCGAGGCCAGTGCCAAGAGGGCACCTACACTCTCCTACTATCCTACGTGCTTCCAGCAGCAGCTTCTAGCATCTCCACGGGCTACTAGGATTTACAATCAACCAATCGGAGCTTCGAGCTAGGACCGAGTAAGCGAGAACTGAGCCAAAAAAACTCAAGAGTACTTCGGGGGCCTACCTCCAGGCAGCTTCGCCCGTTGAGGCTCAGCGCAAACAACCAGGCTCACTGTGCACAAAACTGCGCCACCGCCATGATGATCTCCTCCAGAGGGCAGCGGGCTCCAAAATGCACTGTGGGATCGGACTCCCCACAAAGCCTGCTGCTTCTCCGTAGCACGGACGAACCGCTCGTTCTTCTGCAAAGCAGGAGCCTCGATGTAGAAGCGCTGGTGACCCCCTCGGAGCCCCCTCTGCTGGGCCGCTTGCATTTTGGATGCCGGCGATTGTCATCTCCTCTGGCGATACTCCGTACCTTAGAAAACAGCAGCAGCATGCCACGCAGGAATGCGGAGGAATCCCGCCTTCTTTCCACTGCTGCACTTGCCAGCGACTGCACCTCGGCAGGCCAAGAGGTTCCGCCTTGCACGACAGCCAATGTCCTGGCTCAGAGCTGGGGAGATGGCCATCTGCATGGCAATCTCTGCTCGCCACGGCGAGGAAGATGAAGCCTAGCACGTCGACAGCACACTGCAATGCCTTCGGGAGGCTTTAGGGGGCGTATCGGTCACACTCGACTGTTTGTGCACTAGCAGGAAACACCACTGAGTCACAACATTGTACTCCTCCGCCGCACCTTGGCTGCAGCGCTCGAAGCCTCAGAAAGGCGCTTCATCTCATCCACCATCAGCTCCTCGACAAGAGACCATCAACTCAAACTTCAACTTCAATATTTTGGACTCAAAGACGACGCGAGTCATTTTCGACCGAAGCAACGGTTTGTATCAGCGCACCGTGGACGTACCACAGTACTGGTGAGACGCCGGGGGGCTTCTTGGGCCAGGGAGCTTTCGGCAAAAGGAAGGCCCTTACTCACCCGCAGGTGGTTGGCCTGGAAGGGGCCCTTACTCACCCGCAAGTAATAGGTCTTATAAGACACTGCACCTCGGTGGGTGCGAGGAGGGCCCGGGTGGGAAGCAAAATGTTCCGCGCATACCAACGTCCAAAGTAAATGTCATGCTGGCTGTGCGCAACCATGTGCTCGCGAACGCATGACAACGGCCCTTGGACTCAAAAAGACGCGAGTCTTCTTTGACCGAGGCAACGGTCTGTATCAGCGCACCGTGGACGTACCACGGTACTGGTGAGACGCCGGGGAGGCCCGTTGGGCCAGCGAGCTCCTGCAAAAGGAAGGTGCTTACATACCCACAGGTGGTTGGCCTGGAATGTAGGCCTTATAAGACAACACCTCGGTGCGCCTCCAAAGCCAAGGCGCTCCCCATTTCCAAATCAGCAGAGCGATTGCCTTGCTCGAGCGTAAAGAGCCCAACAGGTGAGGTTGCGTAAACTGTTTAGACTACATTGCTGCCGGAAGGAGGGGAGGCGCGGGAGGGAGGAAACGAGCAGGTGCTGCTGCACCAACGGTGCGTCAGCTTCATCCAAGTAGATTCGGCAAGCATTGTCATTGTGGTCTGCCCATCTATATACCCATCACCATCGTCGCTTCGAAGTTGTGAAATGCTTGCCAAAAATGGGTGACTCCTCCTCTGCAAACGCGACAGGGAGAAAAAACTCGCAAATCCAGGCCCAAAAAGGCCACCATTATTGGAATCTCGCTCGGAACACCTGCATTGATGAATCCACAATGGGAGTATCCGCGACCCAGATGCCATAGAGAGCGGGAAGATGCCGGAATAAAGAGGGGCGTAGAGTGAGACACTCTGAGCCCTGCCGCGGCTCGTCTCTGTGTGCGGCAAGGCCACAACAATGTGCCTGCAGTTGATCTGCACCACACACGTCTTTGGGCCTCAGCTGTAGACCTCAGAGGTTCGCAGTAAGAAAGATTGCAAAAGAATGGCAATGGCCAACCTCCACTGCTTGGCTTGGCAGAGAATGATGCCACACCTGCCATATATAGCAAGTGACCAATGCAGGGGGTTAGCCCCAATGGGCTTGTATGCTTTGAACCAGTCAGAGTAAAGCTGGGTGGCATTGTAAAGTCTCGACCGCAGCCGGGGCAGGATCCGTTTTAGTGGCGAGACCGTGGCACCTGCATACCCGAACGAGTCTCCTTCTTGGAAGCAGACATTCAGGAACTCGCCAAGAACCAAGTCAAGCTCTTTGACGGAGGTAGGCATGCGAAGTCACTCCCTCTTTAGCAAAGCGACGAGACGAAGCAAGGCACTGCGAGCTTATGGGCCATGTCGAGGTGCAGAACACCAGGAGGCTGTATCGGTGAAGTTCCACGCCGATATGTCTGAACTGAGCACACAATTGAATCGCCTGACGCCTCGCCAAACGACCCAGCTGCTGGCTGTGAACCCTGCCTTTCGCCAAACTGGAAGAATCTAGTCGCTTGGGTCCATGTCCACCGCGCCGCGAACGGCGCCTGAGAGCGGCAAGTGCCGCAAACATGTCTGTACGGTATGCAGTTCAACTTTTACCAGGAGAAGGACCACGTGCTCCGCCAGCGCCAGAGGTGCGCCGGGTAAGTTAAGGCGTCTCAAATTGTCTGGCTTGAGGGAGCCACTGCCTCACTTTCGTCCACCGATAGTGGCCTCGTGAGAGCACCCTGCTAAGATGCCCTTGGGTCCCTGACTGCCGCGCACGGCGCCTGAATGCGGCAAGTGCCGCCAACATCAACATCAGGAGAAGGACCACGTGTTCTGCCAGCGCCAGAGGTGCGCCGGGTGAGGCAGCATCAAATTGTCCGGTCTGAAGGGGCCCACGGCCTCACACTCGTCCCCCGATATAGTGGCCTCATGAGAGCATCCTCCTAAGATGCCAAAGCAGGATCTCCTGCGCGCAAGGTGCAATGATCTCTGCCACCTTCTCCGCCGCCGCCGCCGCAGCGGGAGAGCGAAGGCTCGCAGCGGCGCTCATTGCCACTCGAGGGTATGATCAGCGAGTTTCTTCGAGGTAAGAGGCACGCCTCTTCGATGTCCCTCTTGAACGCAAGGGCCAGAAACGTAGAAAGACCTCACTGAACAGAAGAAGGAGTCCCAGGTCTGGTCCACGAATTCGGAAGCACAGGCAGTGCCGTGATCACTGGACGAGCTCTGGAGCCCTGTAACGCGGGAACGAAGACCTACTTGGTTTGTGAGGGGCCCCAAGCATGGCCCAACCATCTCCTCCAGCATGTCTTTGCCAGCTGGCTGCAGAAAGAAGTCGTCCTCGGCATCCACCCTGGGACTGATAGAAATCCTTACTGTCACCAAAAGCCTCTTTGATAGGGTGCCCTTCCTCAGAGAAGAACTCAGCAGACGGGAGCAACACTCCGAACGATGCTGCTCGATGCACCAAAGCGAGAGCAGAAGGATCGCCCACGAGAGGCCGAGCATTTGTAGAAATATCGTTTCCGGGATTCCTCTCCGCCGCAGCGGGCACAGACACCGACGTACTCCTTGGCCAGCCACGATCAAGGAAAATCTTTCAAACGTGGCAAGACCAACCCATTGCCGGCCGGGAGTGGCGAGAAAAAAGCAGACCATCAGACCCACAGAGACGGTGCCTTCCTTTGTGACCCTAAGGACCCTCCTTGAATGCCTCCACGGATGGCCCTCGCCAGAGACTTGAAGGATAGCCCTCTTACCAGGCACGCAGTTCGAAATCGCTGGCGCTCAAGGCTGGCAACGCGCCCGCAGGGTGGAGTCGAAAGTTCTGACGCAAAGGCTCCGCCCAAAGCGGGTAAATCATGTATATCGTCAACCTCATCTTTAATCCACCGCTTTTGCGTTTCGCGGACCCTCCCTTTCGAGAGGAATAGAGCCTTGCCTTGCATCATGTAGAGCTCAGGGATGAGGACCGCCGCACGAGCGTCACCGGACAAGTAGTTGAGAAAATCGCCGCCCCTGCTGCTCGCGCGGGTGGTGCTCTCAAACTCTAGCGATAAATCGGAGGGCTTAGACGCAGAACTGCAAGAGCTGGCCCGGGATCGAAAGGACCCGGGACAGGGTCGAGGGGATAAGTGCGCAGGGCGCCGGGTGGAAATCGCCAGAGCATCGTGCCTAAGAAGCCCTTGCCCGGGCTGAATCGCCTCACTGCATAGCCGCTGAGGATCCCGGCTGTGGCCGATAAAATCAGCACAGGAGAGAGCAAGAAGCTGCTGGCGCGCGGGTGATGCTTTCGGATCTAGCGATAAACCGGTGAGCCTAGGCGCAGAACTCCAAGACCTGGGCTGAGATGCAACGGGCCCGGGACAGGGTCGAGGGGATAAGCGCGCGGACCAAATTGACAGCATCGTGCCAGCCCCGTGCGTCGGAGAAGCCCTCTAGATCCCCTTCTGAGGCCGAGGCTGCCATCGAAGAAAGCTGGCCAAGGCGGAGCGACGTCTGCGGAGCAGAGGAGGAGCCCTTGGCTCCAGTGACCTTAACGCAGAACTCAGAGACTTGGCCCGGAAACTTGGCCCGGGATTTTCAGGACCCGCGGCAGCTCAATGGGATAAGCGCAAAGACGCAAAGGCCGCTGGGACATGTCATCAGAGCGTCGACAGTGGCCTTCAGGTCTTCTTCCCTCAGATGAGGCTGCCATCGATAAGAAGAAGAGTGACTGGTGAAGAGCCAGGAAAGGCGACAGAGGGCGACGACGGCGTTTCGCGAACCCAGCTAAGAGAGATCCCGCCCCGCCAGTGGCCTCCAGCTACCTTTTGACAATCCTGGCGCCAAATTTTCGTCAGAAGCTGGGAGTGAACCAGCTGCGACAGCTCAAGACCATTTGCTGCTGGTAGAAAAGGGGACTCGGCCTGGCCAGGGACGGGGTGCTGCCAAGCCCTAGGACGAGCCTCTCGCCCCTACACGTGACTTGCCAGGCAGAAAAGGGCAAGAAAGAGGAATGAAGGAAAGCAGTGAACGGGGAGAAAGGAAAGAAGAAAAGCCCGCTGTGGCGGAGTGTGACCCTGTGTTGCCGTGTGTGTCCCGAGAGGCAAGAAGAAGGGAAAGAAGCCCCTTCGCAAAGGAGGTGTCGTCGGTGACGAGCGTGAGGGGCCGAAGAAGACCCCTCCTCTCCTGTCGTCCGCCGGACCTACCGGCGCACTGACTGCGGCCGAGTAAGACGTGCCAGGTCAAGAAGATTAATGAAAGGATGAAACGAGGCCAACTTGCGAGATTCCTTCGAGGAGTCTCCTTGCCGGACACTGCAAGGACTGGGGCAGAATGGATCATGAAGGGAGGCGGTTCCCTATCTCACTAGGTTCCGTCAGGGAGTTCGACGACACCGAGGCAGCCCCCCGGGGGCGCGGAGCCCAACCGGCGGCCTGACCTCCTGCTGATGATGTTGCCGTCAACGCACCCAAACAGAGTAATTACTTTGGGCAGCTTTTTGGCAGGAGCCCTTGTTCACGCCATTAACTTCACCACTTCACTACTGCTGTGGCTGGACTGGTCTTGTTCGCCAGCCACTTCCAGAACAGCTGACCGAAGCAGAAGTTGGAAGCTGTGTCTGGCCCTGCTCCATCTGCTATAGGAGGACCGGTTTCCAGGTTTTCGCGTGATTATATGCAACGAATATGGTCCAGCGTGTCGGGGATCTGGACCTGTTCATAGCTTCCTGGCCCACAGGAGAAGCGGTGTTTGCCAAGGCCACAGGAGGATCCTCAGTCTTCGGTGGCTCTGCGGTGAGGCGATCCAGCTCCCATTTCAGATCTGCAGCTGCGGCAGGCTAACTGGGCCATGCCGGCTGCTGGGCATTCCCCAGTTCCTGTAATGGAATGCTTCGGAGCGATTCCAAGTGCATGGAACTCTTAGCCGGGATGCGCTGTTGCACTCTTGCAAGTGTGGGGCTTTTTGGCACACAAATGACAGGCGAAGTAACCGTGCTCCTCGGAGCCTTCACCTTCATCTAGCCACCATAGGAGGTAGCCGGTAGACATTTCCAAACAGACACGGGGTCTTCCCTTCCTTCGACCCTCACGAGGGCCATTCCTTGAGGACGCCAATCGGCATCAAGGAGTCGTAGCTCCAAGTATTCTCCGCACGCAGCGGCAGGGCGCGCCATGCGCCTGGATCCTAAGGCAGATCCAGGGCATGGGCATGGCTGCTGCCCACCCTAGCCCTAACCCACAGCGGTCATCTTGAGCAAAATGCTCCGCGCATACAAACGTCCAAAGCAGATGTCATGCTGGCTGTGCGCAAGCATGTGTTCGCAACACATGACAGCGGCCCATTTGGGGTGCGAATCCTGGCAAGGAGGGCCCCTCCTCAAACACAGAGAAGACGTGGAAAAAGAGGCTGGCTTTCGGGATGCTTGGACGATGCCGGACAACACAGGACACTTCAGTTGCAGACGCCTGCATCTCCACGATTTCTGAAGTCTTCATCTTTTTCCCCTTCTTGTCCTTCGAAATCAGACTTCAAAAAAACAAACCCAACCGCCCGCAATCGAGGCCAGGCACGCCTCCGGCAAAGGCGTCGAGGCTTCGTTTTTGAGGAGGGAAGTGACGCAGCTGGCCCTGCAAAGCAAACACAAAAGAACAGGAATCCGGAACCCTTCAGGAGAGGCTGGGGTTCCAGGCATCATGATGCTGTTCTCCACTCCAGCTTTGGACCAAGCGCTGCGCACCTTGGAGATAAACCTGTAACCGATCAAAGCTCCTGAACATGGGCCCACCTCGGGATCTTCCCGGTACTCATCATAGCAGAGCTGCAGCTCCACAGGCGTCAGGTCCTGGACACAACGACTGGAATCAAGCCAACGACGATCTTCTCTTCAATCTTACGCCCAGGGCAAAGCTCACCAGAGCAGTGGGTTGGACTCTGGCAGGATTCGGAATGGGCCCAAAAATTTGCCTGCCCCCTACCCCGCCGGAGACATCATATGGTTTTCAAGCTGCTTTCGCTTGCAACATTCCCATTTTTTAAAAATGGAGCCAAATCATGACCATTTACAGGCAAAGCACTAGGAAAACGGCAAGAACCTCAGGACCCGTCAAAACGGGCACAAGAGGAATAAATGAAAAATGTCAATCGCTGGTCCAGCGATCCAGAAGGCCCTTCCCCGAACGCTCCCTGACCGCACCAAGGACTTGTGGTGAAAGCAAATGCTTCTCCAGAAGTCTTTACCGAGGTCCTCGGTCTAAACCTGAATGGGTACAAACGTACGCGGAGTGAGACAAAGCTCAAACAGGAGACTCTGACATACCTACACTGCACAAGGAAGAGTCTTACATTCCTACCTTTGAGCCATGTAACGAAGTTAACAGAAAACCAGTGAACACCAGAGGATCAACGACCATGAACGACCCTCCTTTTTCTCCCCACGTTGTGAGGATGAGTACGCCCAACAGTGCTTTCTCACAGCACATTGCATGCTGGAAGCGGCCGGCCTTGGGGATGACAACTCAGCGGTATCCCGACACGGATCCACGCATTGTAGTCGGGATGAAAGGACGAGGAGACGAAACTTCAAGTCTTGATGATTCCACAATCTGAAAGATACAGAAATCTGAAGGACCGTCAAGAAGCTGTTGCTGGTACTACTGTTGGACGGAAACCGGCCGATCAAGGCAATTCAGTCGGTCAACATATTCACATGCTCACGGGTCAACGACTGAACCATGATACGCACAAAGAGCTGACAGGAGATGACCTTCTCCTTGGTATGAAACGTCAGACTCGGACGCGGCCAGCTGTCAGCCCGTTGAAGCATGCTCTTCTGGAGATCTGCTTTGTGCGAGGGGGGAATCAAGTGGTCGAACGGCTGCAGAACGAGAATGGATATCCGGTGAACTGAGCGGTGCAAACTTGATGATACGGTCGCCGGGAGAATACTTTGCGAGTTGGATTGCTGGGAATTGACGGCACGAACAGCTCTGAGAAAAGGCCCAAAGAGGGCCCCTCCAAGGCACCTCGAGGCCCTCCTTTGCAGCCGGTGCCTCGGCAGCAAAGTCCTGGCAGTGTTCTGCCGCAAACAATACATTGGCATGAACATCAACATATAAGTACCTCGATACCGATGTATGCAGGTGTGAATTATTGAAAAGGTCTGCAGGCAGGTGCCGAGGGTTCACGCCACCGCTGCATCCCAGACAGAGATGTTATGAAGCGCATGTGAGCCGAAGAGCCACGCGTTTACTCCCTCCAAGTGTGATCCTCGAAGCGGCGGTAGACATCGCTGACCGGACAGGTCTTCGCCTCACATGCCAATCTTGTGAAGGACGGGGCAGAAGCCTGAAAGCCCGGCCCGATACTCTTCGTAGACCTTCTTGGCGAAGTCCTGCGCGACCCCCCATGCTACCAGTTCTAGCAACTTGCAATGGCGAACTGCTGGCGGCTACGTCTACGGGCAACTCGAAGTCGAGGTCCTTGGCCTTCTGGGAGTGGTCCGCCATATTTCGGAGAACCTCAAGGAAATCGGCCTCCCGCCCAGCTGGGAGCGCTGACATGCGTGCAGTGGCGCGCAGTGGCGCGCAGTGGCAGTAGAGGCGGCCGTGCCTTGTTGGCCCGTGGCTGCGCGGCACCCGTCAGGTGCCTCGGAGATCAGAGCGGCCGCGCCGGCTCACAGCGGATCCAAGTCTGCTGGGCGAGGAGGGGCTTTGGGCCGCGGCTGCATCATGTTCGCGAGCTGCTCGGTGCAGCGGGCAAACCTCGCACTAAGCTCAGCCGAGCCAACTCCCCTCGCCCATACTGACCCGCTCTCGTTTCCACTCTGGGAAGCTGCGCTCTGGATGATTTGCCAGCACCTCTTCGTGCCTTTGCAGTACCAATGTGTCGAAGCAGAGCTTGTCGTTTGAGGCTCTTCCCAAAAATCTGGGGTCAGCGCTGCATCACTGCCTCACGCCGTGAAAAAGATTTCATGGCGATGGTCTCTGTGTGCCAACGGCAGTTGCCAACGGCCTGCTCTACGTCCTCACAGTGTACGCCCAGCTGCTGTTCCACTGCCACGGACACCTTGGAGTAAGCGGTAGAGTCTTCCGGCGGCATAGCACAGCTCGGCGGCGTGGATGTCTGAGGTCTTCACGAGGAGTTCGGCAGTGGTTTCACATGCCTGAGACAATGGACACTGAACAGCGAGCAGAGAAGTCCCGGCAGAGGCAAAGCCGCAAAGCCTTGTTGCTGAAGCTTCGACGCGTGTCCTCCATTGTAAAGACTTTCCAAAGCTCTCTTTGAAACCGAAGAGCATCCTGATCCAGGGCCAGGAACTCTGTGAGGACCTTCTGCATCTCTACCTCTGGCTCTGGGGCTCAGTGGCACTCAGTGGTACTTGGAACAGGCTCCGGAAGCTCCTAGCAGGGGCGCAGACCACCATGAATTGATGGATCTCCACGATCTTCTCAATGCCAATACCTCTGTTCAGAGGTATGTTCGTGGAAAGGCAAGTGACCGGAGCCGGGCTTCTTCCACTTCTACATCGAGGATTTGTCATGCTGCCACCGCCGATGTTCATGGCACGAGGACAGACTGTGGGCAAGAATCTAAGAAAGTCTAAGACTCTAAGCCGCTTCTAGGCCCCTAAGCAGCGAGGCGTTGAAGGGTCAAAGAGCTGCGAGCGCACTCCGGGCTTTGGCGAGGTCGCCCTTTGGCTCCGGGTGAAGGAGCAGCTGGGCCTTGGCCGAGACCTCAGCTCTCAGCTCTCAGCTCTCTCTCTCCGCTCTCCGCTCTCCGCTCTCCGCTCTGCCTCCTCGTCCTGCTCGTACCTGCACGGCCCCAGAGGCGCGGGGCATCAAGCCGTGTGTGTTGCTCTGTTGCGGGCACTGTGTGAGAAGCTTTTGGAAGGCCTGCTCGGATAGGTTGAGCTCCTTGAACTCGACATCGGAACTTCACCCGAGTTGCATTTTCACAGCTTCAGTCCTCCAAGGGATCTATCGGCAGCTGCATTTCCTGGCGCAAAACACGATGACTCGTGCCAGACGTATCTTCGGAGTAGCTCGCCTTGATTCTGCGGAAAGCCTCAGTGATGGAGAGGGCCTTCTTCTTCTTTTTCTTGCCCTCCTGCTTCTCCTTGAAAGGACCGGCCCTACTTCCTCTTCCTGCTTCGCGGGACTCTCAAATCCAACCGCCTTCGCCTCTTTCGCTATGCTTCTGGCCAGCTGACTGATTTCAGTCTGCACAATGCCTGGCTAGGACAGGCTGCAGTGAAAGCAAGCTCTCAATGGAGACTACCGCAGCAGTCTCCGTCCCACTGATAGAGAAGCAGTGACAGATCCAGAAAGAGAGAGAGAGAGACAGAGAGCGCGGGATTCTCTATCACTCGCCAAGTTCACCCTGGACTCGGATGGTTTCGTCCAACAGCTCGAGGATGTCTTGCCTCGTCTGCACTCCTGCGGAGAGCGGACAATTTGCAATGCGACACGCACATCATGAAGCTTCGTGTCGGCACGCTGTTCCTCCACTTGGCCTTTTCCAGATCTTGCGGCTGCCTGACGACCCAGCAAAGTCGAGAAGCAAAGACAGCGTGGATGCTGCCGGCTGCTCCTGCGCTTGCGGTGGTGGATATTGCAGGAGGCTCTTCTGCATAGCCTTGTCAGGCTGAGTAGCAGCCTGTCTCTGTCTTAGCCGCGGCGGCTGCGCGCCCTGGGACGGCCGGGACGGCGTGGCAGTAGAAGCCTTCGCGTTCTTGGCGGCCTCCGCTCTCCGCGCTCTCGGAAGAGCGGCTCTCCAGCAAAAAACGAAAAAAGAACGAAACAACGTTTGCGTTTGCGTTGGCGGCAGGAGCGCCTCCACCAGGCGGAGGGTGGCCATCGAGTCCGGGATCAAACCGACTCCCACGGAGCCATACCTTCCGAAACAGCGGCTGTCTCCCCGCTCGGAGTCCCCCCACAAAGTGCCTCTTCAACTTCTCCGAGAGAATGGCGGCCTGAAGCCGACGTCTTCGCTGCAAGAGAACATGCGGGGAATGAAAGGTCTCTGTGGGCCGCCACGGCCTCCCCCATCATGGAGCCGGGCAGCGCCAACGCCAACGCTGGTGCCTTGCCCCCTTCCCCCGGTCCGGGCACCGGCCCCTTCTTCAAGGGGCAAGAGACCCTAGCGAGCCATGCAGCTGCACTCAGCCGAAGGAGACGGCCGAAGCACGTTTTGACACGGAAACGGATGTTTGTGCACGTGTGTCATGAAACTACCCCACATCAAGCCCAGCCACTTCTTGCGTCGCACGCGCTGTGCAACTGGTGTAAGATAAAGCTACTTGCCGGATCACGCATATGCAACATGGGCAAGAAGGCTCAAAACTGCGGAAGCCCCACTCGCCAAGACATCAACTGCCTCGCAGGTTTCAAGACAATTATTCTGGCCAAGCAACTGCAAGACGCACTTAACGTGCCGCTGCTGCTATGTCAAGGCCAGCAGAGGCCATCAAAGCTGCACTTCAAAAGTCGCCATGGTTGCATGGAGATGGAACCTACTCTACAGACCTAGCTGCCTAGCTCTCACAGAAAGAACATCATGTGGAAGAAGTTGGCATTATTCGGGTCGATCCTTGCGACAGGTCTGCTGCTTCGGCATCTGCAACGACTTGCATCGTCCACTCTTCTCCACATAATCTCCAAGCTACAGATAGTTGGGGTTGCCGTTGGGCTCCAGTGCGATGCGCTCTGCCGCGGCGTAGCCATCACCCAGCATCTCTTCCTCGAAGACTGGCTTCGAAGCCCACACCGGAAAACAGGCTGGGATGGCAGATATACCGCCTTTTTGCACTGACACAACATTCCGCGTTATCCAGTTACAAGCCAACGAGAGCAGCTACGTGAGATGTCGTGTCCACAAAAATTACGAGATCCAGCCCTGAAGATCATTGTGGAACACTACCTGCAACAATACGAAGAGCTACGAGTCATAGTGAAGTGACCAAAATGTAGTCTGGCTTTCTTCCATGATCTCAGGGCAACCAAAGCTGGTCTCCTACTTGACCTCCTTGAGGCATCGAATTTGTGCAGTGGACCCCGCTTCATTGGCGTGGTCTCGGGATCCCAGGGAGCTGGAGATCCACTTCGTGGGATCAGCGGCCCTATCTACACAGCTTTATGTAAGCTCGGAGCATTGCTTGCCGCTTGCCACTGTTCCAGTTTATCCAGTTTCTGTTGCATCCATAGTCCGTAGCCGTTTCATTGCGGTGATCATGCTTCTCTGTTTTGCGATATGCAATCAACCAAGCCTACTAGTGTACTTTCCTCTCGGCTGCGTAGATCTGCTTAGCGAGGGAAATCTGTTCATTTGGTGGTTCGGCTTCTTTCACGGCTCCCGGTGTTACAGCGGTGGTGCGCACGGACATCTTTGTGCCCAGCCTGCACAGTCTCACTGCTGTACTCGCAGAGGCACAAGAACGTGGGCACCGCAGACGGGGCGATTGGTGACTAAGTCGGACAAAACGATTCGCGCGCATTGGGTGCTCGAATTGCGTGAGACGGGCTGCGTGCTGAAACTCAGAGGCTGCTGAGGTTCCTCAATGCACCTGCTACATGGAGCTGACGCGTCAAGGCCCAAATGCTCTGGATGGTGCGCCTCCTTAAAGTGATGCCACCAACGGGACCTCCACATCGGAGGCCTCGTCACCAATGGCCTGAGGAGGTGCACAAAGCCGTCGCCACACTCCTTCACGCATCTTCACTCCCTTCACCCTGCAAACCTGCTCGGTGTCGACCATCGCGACCTGAAAGTTCCAGGCGAGGGATGCACGTCAAGTGAATTCTTCGCTCGTCCGGCTACATGAGTCATACAGTCGTCATACCTGCTTTTGGCATCTTTGAAATTGAACGCCCCACCTGGCCGACTGCAGGCCGCCGCAGCCGCTGCACGAAGGTTCCGATGGCCGAAAGGGCCAGAAAGCCCGCGAGGAAGGCAAGGCCAATCTCCTGAGAGCTGACATCTCTTCACTTCGGATCTTGAGGCTGAGCCGGCGGGAGGGCGGAGGCCTTCATCTGACCCTCCTCCAGGCTGCGCGTGCGATCGTAGAGCGTCCGGTACTTCTCAATGAGGTCCCCCTGGTGCGGTTTCCCCGCAAGCCCGCTGTTCACGGGCCGCGTGACCTGCAGCGCAAAGGTACAGGTCCCTGCATCCTGCAATCTACAACAGCTCTTGTGCCTTGATCAACTCTCGGAAGCGTTGTCTCTTTCCACCGGTCCCACAGGTTGCGGAGCAAGAGCTCCACTTTGACCTGGGCATGTGACTCGCCACTTGCGTCTCTCGCGGCTTTGAAGGCTACACGAGCTCGCTTTTTTCCTGCTCTCATCCCGCGCCGATGAGCGCCGTTGCCGCACCGGCAAAAGATCTTCGGCGGATACCAACCGCTGTCCCGACAGGATTCACTGGCAAATCATGAGCTTCAGCAGCTCCTGCGACGAGTCGAAGATGCAAGGCCGGGGCTATGGCAAAGAATCACATGAAGGATGCCGAGAAGCTGAAGGATATAACCTTCCTTCTCAATGAGTACACTTACCCCTGACATCTTGAGATGCGCGATGTCTTTTGGTCAGATCAAAAACTCGCGATCGCTATCCGACTCTGCACGCGCAATCTCAATAACAAAGCTGGGAAATCAACTTTGAAGAGGAACATGCATTCTACGATTTGCGGAGGCTTGGAACAGAAGTCAGGGGCAACTGTACTGCACAGCGTTTTTAAACACAGCCGCTGTACTTGATATTGCTCGCACCATCTGATCCGGAAGGCTCAGACATGCCACACTGCACCCTCTGTCAGGTCGTCATGCTCGTCATTGCGCATGGCCGTGATCATGCGGGGCGGGAAAAGGAGAAGTGCCTCCTTCAAGGACAGATCTGCCCTTCCCGGCGATGGGTAGCACTGACGCATCCGCTCGAAGGCTGCGAGCAAGTTGTCTGGCAAGTTCGGCGAGAAGTACGTCATCGAATATGTCAACGACATGCGCCCCAGGAACTTCCGCAACTCCTGAGATCTCTTTCCCGCCAGACGTCCTTCCGGAGGATACTTCGCGATCTCGTCCTCTAAGAGCTTCACAATATGTGCAGCTGTGTCGTGGCGAAACTGCTCCGTCTGTTCTATCTTGGCGCGGAAAATCCACAAGAGCAATGCACAAACGTCACCACGGGCAAGCTTCGACAATATCTGCCGGCTTCTCTGGTCCAGCTTCGCCGGAGGCCGATCCGGGTCATGGCCCAAGTGGCAGAAATTGCAAGAATCCACGCTGCAAGCGCCCTTCTTGGCGATGTAGACACAGGGTCGTGCACAAAGATCTGGGTGTCCCGAGCTGCCAGGATTCCATCGGACGTCGTCCATTGATGTGACAGCGACTCAGTGATCGGAGAGGAACTTCGGAACTTTAGTAAAGGCCCGCAGTCAGGTTTGACCGGGGTGAATTACGAATGCTTGAGCCACAACAGGAAGTCAGGTGACACATCGTGACGCTCTGACATGTGAGGCACAGCGCAACTAAGCCTGCAGCCAACTTTGCCAGGAGCATGCGAGCTCCTCGGATATGAGGTTTCCGAAACGTGGACACGTCCGAAAGGCGTCGCGGCCAAGTCTCCGAAGCGCAGGGGTTGGGGCAAGCGCCCACTTCCTCCATGGCCGCCGGGACACATTCTCTGCCGCCCTGGCCAGGACGGTTTGTAATCGCGCAAAGGCACCCTGAAACGTCTCTCAGACGCCTTGGCAGGGTAAACCAGAATCTCCCTCACTCGCTTTCTCTCGCCGTCACATTGTCCACAGGCTGCCCACCTTGGCTCTGCAAGCAAAACGCTCTTGGCTGCAAGCCTTTTCCGTTCTTTACGCCGTGTTAATGGCATCGAAAACGGGCCCAGCAGCTCCTTCCATTGCCCGTAAACACAATCCAGCGGATGGCCGCCACTGTGGCAGTGGTCACGACCACATTCACGGACATCCACGAGCGTGCCTGGAAAGACGACGGGCCCATGACCAACCCTGGAGTCCCTCCCTGCCGCGCACATCAAGCCACACCTTTGCACGCAAGGCCACCGTGCTGGGGATGCTGGGTGACATATCGGTGGCGCCTGACAAGTCCAAGGCGTCTCGTCTGGCCACTTTGCGAGCTCTCTCCAAAGCCGAAACGGCCTTTGTTCGCCGCCGTCGCAAGTGGCGCTGCAGGCCTCCCAGCCGCTCCAGGCGCTGAGCACGCAGTCCACCTTCGGCCCTTCAAGGCCTGCGAAGAGATGCGGCGCAAGATGCGGCAAGAAAGAAGCGAGAGACGAGACTCAGACTCCCAAGGCCCGGGCAGCCGCTGGGGGCCGCCTCGCCTTCTGCTGGGTTGCACATTGAGACCTCCTGCAGGGCGCCCTGACCTGAAGAGCGCTGGAGCCCTGAGCCCTCTTCACCCTCTTCTAAAAGCAGAGCTTCTCTGGCCGAGGGGCAGAAGAGGCCGTCGCCGTGGCCATAGGCGGCGATGCTTCGCCGCCGGAATCGGATGCCTGTGCCTTATCACCGGAACAGCGACCGAACCCAGAGCATGGGAACAGAAAGCGCGAGATCGCCCGAATGTCCCAACGACTCGAAACAGCACGATGTCGACACCGAACTGGAACTGGCTTGGTCCTGCTAGTACGTGTATGGTGCCATGTAATCTGTGCGGTTGTCTCTGCCACATCACGACTCGATGCACACGACGGTTCGATTGCTTTGCCTTTTGAAAATGGTTCGATGTGTGAAAAGGATTTGCCTGAGGATCCACGCTTCATCGGAATTCGATGGGCAGAGGGACCTTACACCGATGTCAGACCAAGCGGCAGCTGCTGGAGCACTCGTTCCAGCTACTCCAGCCCGTGTAGAGGCAGTCCTTCGGCAATGCCAAGAAAAGCCCTTTGCAATCACTCGTGACTCCTGAAACGAGCTGAGGAATCTGAGGAAACGCCAACACAAAAGGCACTCGTCCTTGTCTTTCTGACAGTGCACGTCGACGTTGCAGAACTTCGTCTCCTGCACGGCAACAACCAATGCACGCTGCTGCAAGCACAGCCAACTGAAATGGTTGGATGCTGTTACGCCGTCCTTGTCGTGCCCGATGGCCGGATGGCCGCAGCTGTTGGCCATTTGCTTCACCTCGCATATCACATGCTACATAGCAGCCGACAGCACTGCAGCGTCCCAAGACCAACCTCCCTTCTCTGTCTCACATCATCATTGTGATATACGCTTTACACTGACGGCCACCTGCAAAACCCCAACAAGCCCACGCCTCCCGGCGTCGGAAAGTGACACCTCCTCCACAGGTGCGGCTGCAGGGAGACCATTGCTCCCAGACGGCCCAGGCGCCGTCGACGCCTGGACCACGACATACGATATTCAAAGGGTGATGCCCTTCAAACGCTCCTGGCGAGCGAGATGAAGCCAAGGCACAATGCTGATGGCAGGCGCCCACGTTGCAAGGTAGCACTTCCGTCATGTCCTGAGAAACAAGGCAGCCGAAGCACCAAGGGGGATAGTGGAACAAGACAGGGTCCTTGTCATCGCAGGCCTTGCCTCCTTCAGAAGGCATGGTCTTGATCTTGCGCTCGCGCTTCATGTGGCCCCCCCCGCAGGATTGGCTGCAATCCGACCAGTCATCCCAGTTCTCCCATTCACAGTCTGCAGCGCATGCACCGCTTTGACCTTGGCAGGCCTGATTCTCGGCAATAGAGAAGAAGCAGCCGAAGCCACCAGGTTCCCGGAGATTGATCACCGCCCGAACGCGGCTTTGCTGACCGGGGCCACAGGACGCAGAGCAGGCACCCCACTCGAGCCAGCCTGAAACCTTACAGTCTTTCAAATTGCAGCTTGGCAAATGGCAGGCCTTCATCTGAACGAGATCGCTGGGACAGAAGTCTCCCCCGTGCTTGGGGAAGGTCAGAATCTCCCGCTGACGCCGTGCATGTGCTGAGCCACAGGTCTGATCACAGTTATCCCAATCAGTCCAGTCCGAAACGGTGCAGTCGACAGGGTCGTGGTGGCAAGTCTCGAGCTCGTGCATTGGGCCCATGCAAGGTAGCCCACCCAAGAGGGCTCTCTTCTTGAAGTCCCTCGACCGCTCCCGTTGCATGGAAAAGCTGCAATCGCTCCAGTCATTCCAAGCATTGAACTCGCAGTCTTCTTCGCTCCCCAAACCACAATCTTCCCAGAAGCCTGCGTGACACTCCTTCACCTCCGATAAGCGTCCGTTGCACTGCGTTCCTCCATCATCAGCCAGACGCTTGATCGTCCTTTCTCGACTTTGGAAACCTTCGCCACAGGTTGTGCTACAACTTCCCCAGCTTTGCCAGTGATCCATGACACAAGGCTCCGGTAGCTCTCCTTTGCAAGCCTTGGTCTGCTCCAGGTCTCCGTAGCACGCAAGGCCGCCACGCTTTGGAGCTTGGAGGACATCCCGTCGGCGATACCTTTGTCCGCCCATGTGTCCCGTGGCATTGCTGCAGTGGCTCCACTCGCTCCAGTCTGAGACCTCGCAGTCCTCGGGTGCCTCGCAGGAGTTGGACTGACAGTGCTTCGTCTCTTGCAAAGCACCGCTGCAGGGAGAGCCACACTCGTTGCTCATCTGCTTCACAACCCGCTGGCGCTCGCACAGCCCGACGCAGGTCGGCTCATTCCAGTCGCTCCAGGGCCCGAAGGCGCAGTCCACTGGCACGCACTCCGTGCAGTCTTCGTTGGAGCTGGGACAGCTTGACACGTCCAGTTGCGAACCGAGGCAGCCTGAATGTTTGTCACCCACAAAGAGATAGTCCTCCGCATCCGCTACGTCCACGAGTTTCAGTACTCGGTTTCGCATAGTCGTGGACACTCCACATGTCGGGGCACACTCCCGCCCACTCCACTCAGACCACACGCAATACTTCCGATCATGGCAGTAGCTGGTGCAGTTCGACACTTCCTTTGCATCCTCCTCATCGCACAACTTGCCGTGCAGCGTCGGGAGCTGCGCGATGACGCGGTGCCGAGTGCGCTGCCCGCCACAGTGAGTGCAGTCTCCCCAGTCCGACCAGTCTCCCCACTTGCAATCTCTGGCCACCTCAGAGACGCACCGGGCCAGCTTTCACAGCACAGCGCAGCAGGCAGAGAGAAAGAGGGAGAGAGATCTGCAGGCCGTGCAGCATGGATATGGCAAGGAGTTGGGCTGCAGCCCTGGACGACGGTAAGGGTGCCATTGCACGGCCTGCCACCATTCGAGGAGGCCTGCAAGACCTTGGACTCAAGGGAGGCCTGCAAGACCCTGTAAAGAATTTCAACGCGAGGCCGAAGCCGTGCGCTTGCGGAGCTGCTCGCCGCCGCCACAGGTCACGGAGCAATCTGACCACTCGGACCAGTCCTGGAGAACGCAGTCCTGCCAGGGCAGTCGTTCGTGCTCTAAACCGCACTCGGAGAGCTCGGAGAGCTCCAACTCCAACTGTCACCGGCCTGCAGCGGTGCCGTGCCGCAGGCAGAAGGTGGTGCGCCGCCCAGCAGCGGATTGCAGTCCTGCGGTGGGATGGTTCTTGCGAAGACCTGCAAGTCAAACCTCGTATCTCGTGCGAGTCCTCGATGTCCTTCAGGCTTTCGTTAACGCCTTGGCTGCAGGAAAGTCATACTTGCCGAAGTTGGGAGGCTCTTTGTAGCACAGCTTCACAGCTGCATTCAAGAAGCATGGAACTCCGTTACCACGGGCGAACATGGTGATGTGGCGAACCCTCTCCCGGACTCCGTGACAGTCCTTGGAGCCTGGGGTAGAGCATGAAACAGAGAGCAGAAAGACACAAAGCCGAAAGCCGGCAAGGTGCACTCCGACCAGGTACTCCACAGGGACAGGCGGCAGTCTTGATCCTCAGGGAAGACGACGGAAGGAGCAGACTCGTTCGGCGGGGCTCAGCTGCTCAGCTCCCCTCCTGCTCGCAGGCTGGCGGGGCCGGGTCACAGAGCCGGAAATCCTCGCGCGGCCCTTCCTCGAGTTAAAAAAGAGAGAATGGAAGGAAGCAAAGGGCAAAGGCGACACAGCAAGTGCAGCAACACTCTTGGGAGCAGCACCGGCATGGCGCCGCAAGCCGTGGGCAGCGTAGCCAGGCTGCGACGCCGCTTCTGGAAGCCACTGCCGCAGTACGCGCTGCACTCGCCCCACTCCTGCAATAAGCATGAGCAAGTCTCCAAGAGGAGCTAACAGGAGCTTCGATCTCAAGGTAGGATACTTGGCGTATCCCGATTTCCCAAGCCGGTCGGGTTTTGGCACGGGAGGTGGTGTTGGTGCTTTTGTCAGCGCACGCGACGTGCCAGCCCCATGACAATACAGTCAGCTTTTTGCGGGTAGACTCCAAACCACGGCGATTGCCTCCGCTTTTCCGCTCCTTTCTCCATTCGCTGCTCAACATGCAAACAAGGACAAGCGGCACACGCCTCTTCCGAAGCTGAAGGAGACAAATTGAGCTTCGTCCCCGACATCGCTACATCACTTTCAGAAAAGCATGCCAAACCGTCCTTACTTCCTACATCTTCCTACGACAACCTGTTTCGCACACACCAGCAACGGTGTAGACAGAAAACACGGAATCGCCTGCTCCGTGCAGCAGACTACGTCCAAGAAAACTTTCTGGCAATGCATCAAGATGTCTTTCGATCGCGATTTTTGCAATTTTTGAGAGCTGCTCTCCATTTCTTCTAGTAAAGAAACGGACAGGACAGACGAGGGTTTGAGCCGAGTCGCCGCCCACGAGCTCCAGTTCCCATCGATGCACTCGCCGCTGCACGGCATCGTGTTGCAAAAGTTCACTTCCTAGGGCAACGCATGACGTCACATCAGTCTCGTCGAAAGTCTCAGGCAGCATTGTATCGCTCGGTGCGTGTCCCGCCTCCTTGTCCTCCGCCTGGCAGGGCAGGCCACCGTTCCGCGGCGCCGTTTCGACGGCCCTGCTCCGGCGCATGGAGCCTCCGGTGTCGTTGCGTTGCGTCGTTGCGAGGCTTCTTGCAACGAAAAGCGGCCTCCTCCACAGGTCTTCGTGCAGTCGCTCCAGTCCAACCAGCTCCCCCACTCGCAGTCGACAACCTGCGCTCAAGAAGCGCAAAAAGCGCTTTCTTCTCCCCTCGATTATGGAAGCTGCTGTCTTGCAGCAGGGGCCCCACGCCCCACGCCTCCTGCGGCTTGATCTGGCAAGACTGGAGCTCGACGGTGGTGCCATTGCAGGCCTCCAGAAAGCTTCACAGGAGCCCCAAAGAGCTTCAAGCGAAACGGCAAGCGTCCAGGGTCTCGCCAGCCCGGCCTCGCCGTCTCCCGTCGCCGGCTCCAGGCTGCGTATTCTCTTGGAAAAGCCTTCCCCTGTCTCCTGGGAGCACTCGCTCCAATTGCCCCAGTCGCCGAAAACGCAGTCCCTGGCAGCGGGCAGTGCAGCTGGAACAGCCACAGCATATGACAGCTGCATGCAGCTGCCTCGTGACGGGAACGCAGGCTTGAGTGTTGCAGGGCGCAACCTCCTGGAGAAGCAAAAAGCTCATGCCAAAGAAAGACATTCATGTCCATCCAGCATCACCCAAACGCACGCCTTCAAGGAGCTTGTGGGGCAAGCGCCCCCAAAGCTGTTGTAGCGCATCAGTCTACGGTGGCGGTAGGTTTGCCCCCCGTGGCAGGACTTGTCGCAATGAGTCCATGCTGACCACCTGGACAATATGAGGTGGGGGATCCACCGTTGTAAACTGGAGGTACAAGAGTGACTCACTGCCGGCCGAGAATCTCAGACACGATGCAGTCTTCGCCTGCCTGGCCGTGGGACGAGCACAGCAGATAGAAAAAAGACTGCAGGCCAGTGTAGGGCACCAGTGGGCCTGCGGGGCACAGGCGTCGGCCTCCATGAGCCTTAGACTCGAGAGCTTCGGCGAGCTTCGGCGAGCTTCGGCGAGCTTCTGCAGCGCTGCCAAGAGGCGACACATTGCAGCCCATACCTGCACCCTCGGGGCTGATCAGCACCACACGGTTCCTGTGTGCGGCTTTGCCCTGAAACCGCAGCCACCCCAGAAAGGCAAAGCTCTCCTCGTTTTCTGTAGGGATTGGCGGCCACATGGTGACCACTCGGACCACGTGCCTGAGACCAAGCACAGGCCGCGGATTCGGAGAGATTTGAGCGCAGCCAGGGCGCTGATGGAGCAGTCCTGCGAGGGGCAGGGGTCCACTGAGCATTCCTTGGTCTCCATCAAGGCGTCGTCGCAAGTCTGGCCGCTCAAGTAATCCTCGACACAAGAGCAGAATTACAGCGGGTCCCGCTGCCAGTGCGACGGTTTCAGTTTGGGCGTGTCTCAACACAACAGGTAAAACATGAGTGGTCGGAGGCTCCTCGCTTTTCACTCGCCGCATGCGGGAGTGTCGACCCTCACCTGGGCAGAAGACAAACGGCATGGCAAAGTCGAAGCGTGAAAAAACAAGCCTGAAAGCCAGCTAGCGAGAGCATCAGCCACCTATAGGCCTTCCTACCTTTGCATGAGCAGTCAAAGCCTTCTTGTTTAGGCCGCACTCCGAGCCACCGCAAGTCGCACTGCAAGGGGTCCACTCGTGCCAATCCCTCAGCGAAGAGCTCGCGTCGGCTCGCTCTTTCGGGTTCGCTCCAGCTCCGGGAGCCCGGCGACAAGATGCAGGGCAGCGGCTCTGGACCACCGCAGGGCCGCGTCTCTTTGCTACTGCCCTTGCCTCGAAGCGACAAGTCAGGCGTCGCCTTCAAGGCCTTCCTGGCAAAAAGAAACACCATTTCTGCAAGTTGCAGGGCTCGCCGTTGTGAAGTGGCTCTCGGTCGATGTGCCGTTCGCGTATCGCCTGAGATTCCCACATGCTCCCACACGCCTTCGCATCGCTTCGCATCGCTTTGTAGCCTGGCCTGGTCCACTTGGCTCTTGCAGACGCTCCACTGGCTCCAGGAGGAAAACACGCAGTCCTGCGATTTTAAAACTCGAGTTGCAGTGGCTACAAAATGGCCATCACCACAGAGTCCCAGAGTATAGTATAAGTCAACATAGGTTCACCCCAACTACGCGTAGAAGTCTTGCAAGCTTACTAACTAGGTTGCAACTGAAAGTTTCAGCAAACAAACCGACCATTTCCCAAAAAGGACAAGCCCTAAGTGGGCACTCGCATGCACTTCAGCACTGGCCTTCTGCATCTGCATCCGTAGAGTTGTCCGAAAGCCGAAACGAATGCATCCGGCACGCCAAGGCTTTTGCATGGTTTTGCTGGGGTCAACTGTTGTCCTCGTGCCGGTGGTTTCTTTTTCCCTGGAGATGTGCTTGGACTGCCTCTCCGCCAACCCCCTGCAACGGCGTTCCGATTGTGCTGCTGTTAGACGATGACTTTCTTCTCAGTCTTCTCAGTTAGCAAGCGGCACCCGGATCTGGCGATACTCGTAGCCCTTGCGGTCGAAGTACACGCTGCTTGGCTGCACAAGCCTCTAGCCTAACATGGGTCCAACAGCATAAACGGGTCGGACCCGCTCCCCTCCGCTCCCTCTCTTGCGAGCTTCGCTTTACAGAGCCTCAGCTGGTCCGAGAACTGCAAATGCCAAGCAAGAGCCAGGGGCTTTCAACCCATCTTGCAGATCCCGTCCTGCTGCTTCTTCAAGCATTCTGGCTTCGGCTCTGGCAAGAGCTCGGATTCCATCTTGGATCCATAGCATGGCAAGCCGCATTCGTTGTTCCGCACCTCGAGAAGCACATCGCGACCTGTGAAAGCCGCAACATCAGACAACTCCGAGCTGCCCACCTGGATGCTTCTGTGTCGGAATCGGAGGCCTATACAGCCAGCACCGTCATACCACCTCAGCTCAGCTCCAGGACTATTGCTTTGACAGCCTGGGCAACTTCGCACCTGCTCCACTCAGTGAAGAGGCAGTCCACCGGCGTGCAGGCGACACACCTGATACAGCCGAAGCACGAATCTGCATAGTGACTGTGACAGTCCTGACAGCGCCTTGTTTGGTCTGGACAATCATCCCACTGCACTTCTCGGCCATCGCACGTGTGCTTTGGTACAGGAGCCTTCCACCAGATTGCAAGATGGGCAGGTGATTGCAGGGGAGTGACACGAGTGCAGTGAAGCCTGTGCTTGGTCGTAGTGATAGTGGACGATGTGCTGCACATGATGGACCGCCGGCAAATCGTCGAAGATGATGTGATGATCGTGGATGATTTGCGTGTCCTTATCGTCATTTGAGGCTGAGCTCAAGCCAGGCAGAGGCGCTGCCGCACTGCTTCCGCGCTGCCTTGCCGCCGCTCGAGTCGTCCATCCACTCGGCTGGGACCTGCAGCCACGCAGCGACTTGAAGGAAAGATCTTGTTAAGTCGTGTCTCTGGGCCCTGGCCTTTGAGGGATCAAGATGTTGCTGTGACAAGTACACGTGCGACCAGTCCGGCTTGGCTTGGCCGGGTACGACCGGGTCGTCCGCCGCGTCCGCATACGCCTGCGCACTCTGCGCTGCTCTGGACCAAAGGCACTCTGTGTGCTCTGAACTCGCTTGAGGCTTGCGCGTACTCGTGGTGTAGGTGCTCTGGAGGATCGTCACTGTAAATGACATGGTGGACATGGTGCACAGGATCATGCAACTCATCCTCCCAGGAATGACAAGACTGCGAGCCACGGAAGAAAACAGAAATTCATGGCTCCATGGCCACCTGCGAGGCTACCTGCGTCACGGTGACGGCGGCGGTGCCCACATCGCCGATGATGTGGGCGTGACCATCTCCCCGTCGGTCGCCCTTCACTCGGACGGTCGACCACTGGGTTTCCTCTGCAAGACTTAGTGTTCGCTTTCGGTCACACCTATATGTTAAGTGGCGGCAAGCTCCTCGGCTGCGGCTGCGAAGGAGAGAGCAGTTAGGGACAAACGCACCAGGTGTCTGAGACGCGCCATGAAGATGGGGATGCCTCTCCCGCTCCTCGGTTCAGCGGTTCAGGGGTTCAGGTCATGGGGGGGATTCACCAGAAGTCCTTGACAAGAGAGTGTCGGTGGGAGGTTGTTCTTTCAGACTTGTCTTCCCCCATGTCAAAAAAATCGTTCCGAGGACCTGCATCTTCGAGTGCTTACCGGACGGTTGTCTACGTGCAGGCCAGGATGCGGGGAAAGAGGCAGTTGACAGCCCCTCACAATTTCAGTGAGGAGACTTTGGGCCAAGGCGAGGATCAGACATTCTCACGCAAAACGGGCACATCCACAGTCAAGGGCTGATCTACAGCATGCTACAGCTCGTCTGGGCTTCCCTGCATCGTACATCAACCCACTCTGCAGCTGCTGCCTCGGCGTAAGGCCCCTTTGCTGGAGTCATCCACCAGGAGCGAAGCTGAGATGGAGACTCGAGCTTCTCGGTTTCTGTCTTCATCTTCTCGAAGTAGAGCCGATGCCTCAGAGGCGCTTCTGCTGGGCTGGAGCTGCTACGAATGGAAGTACTGAAGGCAATGGCAACGCCTGGGCATCGGAGGAGGCTTCGGTATCCTCTCACCGCTCTCCTTCTGCACCTGTGCCAGCAGCGGCTTCTGTGTTGCGAGATGTCTGACTGACAGACTCGAGATTTCTCTGAGCATCCGGCCATCTCCGTGCCTGGCCAGATGAACTGCGGCCAGGCCTTTGGATGCTGCGAGAAGTCGTACAGTGCCCTCTGGCCTGTGCATTACTGGCACTATCTGGCACTGCCTGCTGGTAGCCGACGTCGATCTCTATGGGCTCGTCCTGTCCGCAACAGCGGGAAAGCCTGTCCCTAATGCAGACCACGGGGACGATCCTTGACCACCTCCTGGATGTAGCTGCCTCCGGTCCAGGCAAGACGGAAGAGAGAACTGACAACTTTTCGCTCCGAAAGGACGAAGTCGAGCCTCTCGCTCTCTCTCTATCTCTCTCTCTCTCTCCCTCTCACAGAAGAAAATAAAGCAGCTGAAGCTGAAGCTGAAGAAAGAGCAGCAGCTCTCTCTCTCAAAATTCCCCCATCCCGTCTTGCACTACTCTCACCCCGCTAGCGCCGCCCCCTAACCGCGGCCCCCGTCGCGGCAGCCCCTGGAGCTCTCAAGAGGCGCAAAAAGGCGGCGAGCCCGCGCCTTGGAAGTTGCAGACGGCCTGTCGCAAGGGCGACACCCGGTGCCTCGGAGCCAGGAGGAGGCGGAGAAAGAGAGGCTCAGAGAGGGAGGCGTCTCTTCTCTTCGCACCGCTGCTCCAAGAGCTCTGCAGGTCCTTCTCGAGCATGGAGAAGTCTGCAGGCCTCGTGACACATCGGGAGCCAAGTCCGTCTCTACAAGGCTACGTCGTACTGCCCGTGCAGTCTGGCGGGATCGATTCCGGCCAATTGGTGAGGATCACGTCTCCTGACGCTCAGCGAGACAAAACCGCAAGTTCTTGAGCCCCACACCGCAACCCAACAATCCCTCAGCGACCTTCCATGTCCATGTGCATCTCGTACCAGAACACAATGGCAGTGATCTTTCCTCCGCTCTGCCAAAACTACACCGATGGACGATAGGAGATACAGTGGACCATAGCCTGTTGAGATGGGCGTGAAGGTGATGGAATGGGCCTGGAAAATCATCGAAGCACCGCTCTTTCCGCTCAGAAACACTAGTAGGCCGAGAAGGACCCGACATCTGGCATGAGGTTCTTCTCGAAGTCGAACTTGAAAACCTCACAAGGCTTTTTAAACATAGCATGTACAACTACTGACCTTCACTCGGTTTCCATCTACTTCTGTGTGTCTATACACAGTTGTCTCACCTGCGTTACGAGAGAGAGAGAGAGAGAGAGTAAAAACTCGTTCGGAAATCATTGCTGCTCTTGCTCTCGTAGTTTTTACTTTCCTGTTTTTCTATAGCAACTATACTTGTAATGCTTCTGCCCACTGCCTCAAAGACGTTGGACAGCTGCCGGGCGCTGCCGTCAGCCAGCGCCGTGTCCACGTCAGTCCTGAAAGGCACCCCGCTGGCCAAGAACTTCGTCAAAGAGGGCAAACAAAAAGCTCGGTTGCGGTCATCAGGCCCGTCCGGTAGTGGTTCAGAGCACTCAGGTCGAACCTTGAACTATCTTGGCATCGCTTCTCCTCGGCTGGCTTGTCTGAGTCTCAAGCCCGTCGTAGCTCCGCAGTTGCTCGCCGAACCTGGCCGGAGCCGCCGCCCATGGAAGGGTTGAGCCGTACAGAGAGGCATCCGGATTTGGGACCCACACTCGAAAGCGGCTGCCCAAATGGTCGCTCTGCTGGGGATGACCTCGAAGAAACTCTCTGACGAGCGCTCCAGGTGCACCTCTGCGTCTCTCTGCCTGGTGCTCGAAGGCATTGCACATCTTAATGCGGGCCGCATTCAAAAGCACCAGGATGCCCTCACCTGAGAACAAACGAACCCAACCCCGAACAAGGAGAACTCCCTTTTTTGGTGGGAGATATCTCCGAGCACATGGCCCAGCAGCCCGGGATCAAAGTGTTCGCAAACCACCAGCTGCGCACGCTGCGGTTGACCTCGAAATTTTGCCCGAAATCTCAAAAGATGGCAGCTACACCCCTGAGCTTTGGATGTGCCATGGGAACGCGGTTGCGTTTACAAAGCTGGCCAGAAGGCTTGGAACCGAGCTTGGCAGCTTTCGGACGTCCTCCGAGCAGCGACAGCAATTGCTGGGGGGCAAGGAAGTGCTGTCGTATTTCGAGCCTCCGAACAGAGGAACACATCTCGATCGAGGCCATTGTCGCGGAAAAGACGCCGGGCGAGCTTGACCACTTTGGGCATCTGCCTAAATAGCGCCCGGTTTGTTCACACTGACACTGACGGCAGTGGATTGTCCTCAGCCGCCGGCTCCAGCGCTATGACGGAATAGCCGTGCGTGTCAATCTCCTCGTCGGTGATCCCAGCCTCACGGGCACCTGACAAAGCTGTGCCCTGACTCCAGGTTCCACCAGCAAGAAGTAAGGTCGAGCAACGGACATTTCGCTGTCAGCATGGAGATCTGTCCGAGCCCTGAATCGGCGGATGCGAGCAAACTCACTTTTTACCTAGTTCGACTCTATGTCAATCTCCCTTTGTTTGTTTTCGGCTTTTTCGGCGGGGGATGGGATCGTTGTGTGCCCCTGTATCCATCCATCCATCCATGAAGTTGAACAAGTACACAGCTAGGCACGGGCAAACTACCGTTAAGTCATCCCTGTGCGGTCGTTTACACGCTGGGGACTTGATCCCGAATGCGGTCGCGCAAGAGCAAAGGACAACAACAGTACATGTGGAGGCAGGGTAAAATCTACACCCCCCTCGCCGTGCTGCTCCAGCTAGGCTCCCAGGTATCAGTGGAATTGGGATTGTTGGCCGAAGCGAGCATTTATAGAACACGGCATAGGGAAGCCCTGCAAGTCTTGTAACAGGCGTTGGATGGAGGAACTGTGCCATCTTGATTTAATCTAAACGTAAATATAACGTGATCAGAATGGGTGGCGCGGGGGTTGGGCTGGGCTGGGGGTGGGCTGGGGCGGGATGGGGCTGGGCTGGGCTGGGGTGGGCTGGGGCTGGGGCCGGCGTGGGTCGGGGTGGGCTGCCTGGGCGCGCCGGGCGCTGGGCGGGACACGTTTTTTTCACGTTTGTTTCACGTTTGTTTCGCGCTTTTTTCACGTTTCTTTCACGTTTGTTTCACGTTTTTTTCACGTTTGTTTCACGTTTTCCTAGGGAAAACGTGAAAAGAACGTGAAACAAACGTGAAAGAAACGTGAAACAAACGTGAAAAAAACGTGAAAGAAACGTGCCACCGACATGCAACAAATTCACGTTTTGTTTACGTTACCTATACGTTTACTTTACGTTTGTTTTAAATCAGAAATCGGAGCCTCTCCATGCGAGCGCCGGTTACAATGCAAGTCCAAAGCATACGCGAAGGAACCAAAACGGGCGCCAGTAATCAATACCGACGGGAGCGGTTCCAGGCATCCCATTCGGCTTGCGAATATTGGCCTTGTTGGCTGCGGGAAAGGCAATACTCGTCCCATTGGGCCTGAGTATACCCGATAGAAACGCTCGGCCGTGCGGCCGTGTGTCCGGGTCCCTTTGGGACGGGATGGTGGCGAGCCGCGACTTGGCGGTTTTGCTCGGCCAACCTCTCAGATCCCGCATTCTGACGCTCTGCACTTTGCACGCTGTCCGCACGGATATGGGTGAGCTCGGCAGCGATGGCGTCTGCGTTATCTGAGTTGATCTGGACCTCGCCGTCAAACGTGAGGATCTTCCGGGCATCGCGATTGACCGCAGCGATCTAGAAGAGGCGGGGGTTGAGGAATGTGCCCATGTACGTCTGAGTCAGCCCAATCGGGGCGTCGTCGACGGGTCCACTTCGCAGTGGGCATAGAAGACCAGCTTCGCAGGTTCGATCCCTAAATTGAACAGGCCACTAGACGTGTAATGCGACCAGCCCTACTAAGGTGGCGCTGGCGCTGCTCTTCCGATCGCCCTGGGTCCAGGAGGACAGCGTACGACAAGTAATTAGTCAGACTTCTGCATGTCCTCCATGGCCCGGCCTTCCTGCATCATCCTCAGCTTGAACTGCTCGTCCTGGTCGAAGCGCTCACCGACTGACGAAAATTGCGCTTTGCGGCTGGTTGGCGACGGTCCTTCGCGTCGCGGATGGCAGCGCCTCGATTGGCTTATCGGACCCGGTCGCTGCTGTTGCGAGATTGCGCGGAATCATCGGTCTGCGGCGCCCTGCAGCATCGGCAGAAGAGCGTACCATTGGCCACGACCGTCTTCACAAGGGTGCGACCCCGAGCGGGTAGCTGGGTGGCCTTCCTCCTCGCCAGCATCGGTGGTGTCACCTTCATCATCATTGGCTTCTGCGGCATCCGAATCATCCGAAGGCTCACCCTCCAAGGCGCGGGTCTTCCATTTGGCACCAAAGACTCCTTCTTGAAGTGGCTGAAGAGGCGCTGGTAGGCGTTCATCAAGCCGTGTAGGGGTGCTCTTTCTGTGAAGGCTGTGAGCCTTTGCCTTCTTCCCTCATGTCGGCGTCCTTCGGTGGATCGGTGCTTGCAATGGCTTGGCGTGTCCTGCTTGTCTGCTCTGGTCTTCTCCTCGTCGTCCTTGTCCTTCTCGTCTTTCTCGTGCCCGGCCTCGTCCTTGACCTCGTGCCAGTTGCGAACCACTGCTCTCGAGCAGGCATCCATGACCTTCTTTCTGGCGTCGTAAGTCGGGACTGTGAGGACGGAGATCGGGGCCAGAACTTCTTGCAATCTGTGCCTGCCATGGTCGTGGTGGCGAGGTGAGGTAGCCTAGGTTGTCCTCCAACAACGCCTCCGCCACAGAGAGCTCTCTGTCGGCGGCTGTGGCCCACTCCGGGAAGTTTCTCATCACCAGGGCCCTCTTGGCAGCTTCGATCTGTGTACATCAGATCCTTCTCGGTCCAGGCCGTCCTGATCTTTAGCTTGCGGACCTCGTGCTTGAACGTGTTGATCTTCACCGCATAGTTGACGAGCTCGGCACCGACCTGTGAGAAGGCTGCCTGGAGAGCGGGGCCCACCTTCGTCTGCAAGGCTTCCGTGATCATGGCCGCACACTCCTTCCTGGACACCGGCCGAGGGACCATCGTCTGAGGAGAGAGTCGTGTTGGGACAGCCTTTTCGGCATCTCCACTATCTTTTTCAGCGTCTCGGCATTGGCGGTCGTATGAGCTGCACCTTGTACACGTAGTGCGTCTAGAGCAGCAGCTACACTGCTGCGAGCTGCGAAACCATAGCTCCAAACCATGTTCTGCTCGGATGCCACGGCGACTGAGAGGTCTACGAAGGATAAAAGGGCAGCGACAAGCTTGAGCACTCGTGAGCCTTGTCTGTCCATCTAAATTCTGGAAATCGCCGTGCTGGCGTGGCTCCTGGGCGTCGTTTTGGCGTCGTCGTGCAGGGGATGGCTCATTAATGGGTATGGTGACGTAGCTGGGTGGTTTCATGGGGGCGAGTGAATGCTCGCATTGGTGGAAATGGGATGGCACGACGACTTGAATGTCAAAAGCCCAGCCTCCGTGCGTGAGTCGGATGTACTCAACAACGGTGTCGCCTTTGGCGGAGACGTGCGGGGGATGTCCTCGACATCTGAATCTATGCCGTCTGGCCCGCTGTTCCCAGGCCGGGTCGTCTGGTGGTGGTAAGTAGTAGGAGCTTGGGGCGGTAGTGTTTGCGGGTTGGTTTGCATTGTCAGGGGGGCGCTGAAGGTGATGCTTGTGGCTGTGACGACGTCCAAGGAAGGTTCTGGCGGTTGAGAGCCGCGCGAGAACATTCGCTGCGTCTTGTTCGGATCCCTTGGCGGTGGTGTTTAGGAAGCTTCCGACACCTGAACATGAAAGGCAGCAGCAGGGAGCAGCGAGGCAAGCAGCTCGTCGGAGGTTGCGGGCGGTTTGGCAGTGGGCCCGTGATGTTTGGGCGCAGGGCAGTATGCCGGCCGTGTGGGTCCTGGCTCAGGCGGCTGCTGTGTCGCTCCCGCTTCTTCTCTGTTTTGCTTCGAGTCTTTCCTCAATGGGGTTTTGTGGTAGTGGGGAGCGCAAGTTGTGTTTATTCGCAGTTGCCTCTCGGGGTGTTGGGAGGGAGGCCAGCTTGCTTGCTTTCCCACTGCTCCAAGGAACGTCGCATACTTTGGTATCAACGTAAATCCGCCCACCGCTGACGATCTTGGGTAACGTCGACCTTGCTGACGCTCTCCTCCATCGCACAGTGACGGTCTGTCGCGGTATTGCTCACGTGGATCTCGACCGTTTGCTCCACAGTGCTCACTCGGATGTTGAAGTTGTCCATGTCTTCCCGCGGTTCTCACGACGGGCAGAAGGGAGTCGCTTTGGGCCGGTCGTTTTTGACAGCTCCGGGGATTGTCCTCCTTCAAGGTAAAGCTCCCCTTAAGAATCCTGCTCGAAGCACTTGCGGTTCGAGGAACATGGAGAATCTCTCTCTCTCTCTCTCTCTCTCTCTCTCTCTCTCTCTCTCTCTCTCTCTCTCTCTCTGTCTCTCTCTGACTCTCTCTCTCTCTCTCACACTCTCCCTCTTTGCTTTGCTTTGCTCGGGGATTGGGACGCCAGCCCGCCGCTCCGGAGATCAACCCCATCCAGCATATGGCGTGGATGTGCGCAGGTGAAAAGGCCACATTTCCAAGAAAAGAAAAGTGGGTGTCCAAGGAAAAACGTGCTTGAATTTACGGCCCCCTTCAGCTGTGGCCCCCCAGGCTGAATCGGCGAGCTCCCCGCCAAAAGACGGTCCCTCCATTTGTCTATCATGGTTGGTACTCGGATAAAGCTTCGTGGTTTTTTGGCCCACGGATGTACTTCGGCACCAACGCAATGTGTGATGCGCAGCTATTCCCTGGCGCTGGCACGCGCTCCTTTTGCTCGACTCAAGGGCCCTGCGGAAGTTGCGGTTGATCAGTCACAACAGCTCAGCTTGAAACACCCACTGGCAGTGCACAACACATCAAGATGACATGCTAGATTTGGGCGGAGTGCTTACATTTCCACACAATGTTTCCGAGCCATCACCTGCCACGTCGCTGCTCCTCAGTTGTGCTGCTGCCCCCAGTCGCGCCCCTCGTCGTGGGAGCCCACACTTGGTTTGTAGCTTGCTGGGTCTTGGTCGTGGCTTCATCCTGGGTGTCGTCACGGTGGTTTTGGTAAGCTGGGTGAGCGAGATGTGGTCCTGGTAGTGCAGGTTCTCCGTCTTGCCAGGGTGTTCCTCTTGGTCTGGCTCAACTTCAACCTCTCTACTTTCGGGTGGCTTTGCATTGGTCTTCACTGCTGCTCGCACAAGATGACTTGGTCTCGTCTGGTGTCGCTCTTCTTCGCGGTTTGTACCAGCAACTTGTGCGCTGTTGCTCCTTTCGCACTGGCCCCTCGCTGTACGCAGTTTCCTGCTTCACGGTCGTCAATGTGAAGCTTCCCTGCTCCTTGTTTTCTTGGTCCGACCAGGCACCCGACTAGGCACCGTGCGCAGGTCCTGAACCAAGGAGGGGTTCCTGGCCCCCGCCGCTTGCGCGCTGTCGCATAGCTGACACCCCCGGCATTCGAGGCTCCTCTGCGTAGTAGCAGCTCTGCCCTATCCCTACTCCTGGGCCACCTGGGTTCCTCACCAACGTCCCCCGAAAAAACAGCCGGAGTTCCAACAAAGATGCGAGACCCCAAAGGCCAGTTTCAAGGCGCAGGTGAACTCAAGTCCTGCACCACGCACCCCGGTTGAAAGCCAAGGGTCCCACAAGAGTGAAAGACTTGAGCCCAAAATGTTGGTCTAGCTTCCCCTGTTGGTTGCTGAAGGTTTCTACATGTGATGTCAAAGTGCAATCAAACTGCATACTGCATTCAAAGAACCTTGCTCTATCCTGTGCCTGCGTCCCCTCTGGCTGCGCCTGCTTGTTCGCTCTCTATTTCGGCGGCGCGCGTGCGCCCCCGACATGTGCAGGTGCGAATAGTCTATGCCCCACTCGCCGACAAAGGCTGTGACAACCGGATGCGATGAAAGGGAAACTCTCTTCACTTCACTTCACTTCACAGGGGATAGGCTTCAAGCGAAGCCCGCGCCAAGGCGCCCCCTTCCCCCATTTGGCGGTGGAAGGGGCATTGGGGCTGAAGTGCTCGGGGCTGTTCCCCAAGTGGTCGGTTTTGAGAGGTTTCGGACGCCCGTCTTGGGAACCCCGACCCTCCCTTTACTTTATCGCGCATCCCGGCCTCATCGCCGCGCTCTCTAGAGCAAACTCCTTAGTACCTCGACAGGCGCACTTCCCCTTACTACGGCCGCTAACTACTCCCCACTACATCAAGCAACAACTGAGGGCGAAGCAATGCAGGAACACAGGACCAGCACGATGCCAGTGTATATTGGGCGGCGCTCCCCCATCATCTGGCCACAAACGTAAAAACAAGGACCGGTGCAGTAACGACTTCTGGGTAGGAGCCCCCCGTTGTAAAAAGTGCCGGTTGAATTTCCCCTCTTTAGGTTGTGTTGGGCTATGAGCAGAGCACTGAATTAGCGGTAGCGTTCGGAACAGACGCCGCAGAGTGGCGGCGTATAACAATGAATTAGTAATTGACTGCACCAGGTTGGTGGCTGCTTTGAGCTAGAACTTGGCTAAACAACAACTGCATGTATTCCCCCGGCAAGGAACGGGAACCCGACAAAACACATCACGCTGGTCGGTTCCCCCTTTTTGGAAAACTAGGATTGCGTCCTCACTTGTGCTCGCGGAGTGCGCGACTTGCGCTCATGTGGTCTTGTACCTGACGCACCCCCTGCCATAATGGTCCAGGTCGAAGTCGAATGGCTCGTCTTGGGCTTCTGCTTGGTGTCCTTGGCCTTTCGCTCCCCCGTCTTGAGGATCTCTGTGGGCTACGGCTTGGTGTTCTCGGTCGCATCGCCCCTCTGTTGGACGGTGGCCTTCGCGGGCTCCTGCTTGGTGTTCGTGGTCTGGCCTCCCCCAAGTTGAGTGGGGCTTGGTGCTCTGTTGCCGTATGCTCGGTACTGGTCTGGGACTCATCTTCGCTGCTTGTGTCCCCCCAGTCGACTTCTGCTTCAAAGGCTTGCCCATCTTCACGGCGGTGTGGTGTCACGGTCTGCGGTTCTCCCCCACTGCGTTGCGGAACCTCTCTGGCTGGCGTCGTACTGCTTGTCGCTTTCCGTCCTTTCTCCCTGGCTGGCTCCCCCTTCTTGTCTGGCTTCTCCTTCTTGGTCGAGCTGCTGGCTTTCTCCCGTAACTCGGCGGGCTTCGGCTTCTTTGCATGCCTTCTTCGTTTTCCGCCGTATCCCCCGAGCCTGCTTGAGGAGCATGTGGATCTTGTGCGGGTGCTTCATTCTGAATGCCCTGGACTCGTTGGTCACCTTGGGCAGGTACTTGTCCGTGATGCTGACCAGTTTGTCCGCCGCGTTCCCCAATTGAATTCTGGCACTGAGCCTCCCCCAGTAAGCTTGAAAAGACTCTGCCTCTTCCTGGGTGAGGCTCCCCCCGTCTTCTCTCTGCCATTGCTCGGTGTCGGCGTTCCACTGGATTTTCTTGTTTATCCATTTGTCCAGCGGTCCTGGGTGAAAAAGGAGTCCGAGGCCTCCCCGCGTGTCGAAACGAACCATGTGGGCTAGGCTTGGCTTACTCGGCGCGGCTTTGCTTGCAAACGAAGGCGCTCCCCCATTCTTCTGGTTCCCACCTTCTCCCCCTCGCTGGCGTTTCTGCAAGATTGAGACTGTCATGTTTTCCTTCACACCGTGTAGCCGGCATGCTGGATCGGACCTCACATGCACTTTTCTCATGCCTGCCGCACATATTCCCCCGGCTTGGCGGCATATGCGGCATTCTGTAGCCATGTCTCCACCACTTCCAGGAAGATGCCTTTGAGTTCCACGGTCAAGTTGTATGACCCTCCCCTCCCCCCTACTGGCGGGCCAATTTTGAAGGAGGCCGCTGTCAGGGTTTGGGTGGTTCGAAAGGGACACGGGGTCACTTAAGCACACGGCTGCGGACGGAGGACTCAAGCACCGCTGGGCAAACCGGGAAGGCTCCCCTGGAGTTACAGTCCAGGTTAACCCCTCGGCTCCCCCCCCATGCAAGGAGGCGGCACAGGCCCCCAAGCAAAGGTGCAGTACTTGAGCCAAATTCCCTCTCTCTCTCTCTCTCTCTCTCTCTCTCTCTCTCTCTCTCTCTCTCTCTCTCTCTCTCTCTCTCTCTCTCTCTCTCTGCTCTGTGGCTCTCTCTCCCCCCGTCTGGCTCGGAGTTGTCTTCAATAAGGCCCCTGCTGCGAAAGCTGTGCTTCAAAGCGTCGCCTGCATGCTTCAGCAACCCTGCACGGGCCACCCTTTTGCTGCATCACCAAGAGCCGCTCGCTGCGGAAACGGTGGTTGATTCGCAACTGAAAACAAACTCAAACCGGCACTGCATCCAGCACGCACATGTCAACAGGTCAGGCTACCTACCGCACTTTCACACTGATATAACCCTCTCTCTGACCTGTTGACTTAGCTGTACTAGCGCGCTTCTTAAGTGCCTTTTCGTGAAACAGCAATCCTGAGCAAAGCTGTTCTCTAATGTCCGATCCTCTATGGGCCTTCGTAAGGCCATCAGCAAGCTGACACCTAGTCGGCACCCACAACAGCTTCGCTTTGCCCGGATGTTCTCGCTGATCTCTTGTAGTCAGCAATTGACGAAGCAAGACAGCATGTACAATATTCCCCTTCTCTCCTATGTGCTGGCCGTCTTTATGAATAGTGTCAAATATACTCTTGCAGTCAGTGACCATGGTAAGCGGAACAAGTTGCTGCCACCCGTCATCCTCAACGGCTGACATCACCTTCGACCCGTACTTCAGTTCGCACAGCAGGACTTGTGCAAATCTCGACATGTTGTGGCCCATTATTGCAGCATGGGTCTCAGCGGCAAACGAAGATTCAATGACCCGGCGATTCGTAGCACTCTTCCAATCGATGAGATTCAAGTGGACTCTACCCTCTTGTTCAACAGCTCCCTTTTTAACAAAGCCAATACACGCACCCTTCTGAGAATAGACCAACCGCTTGTCCAGATCACTCTGAAGGATATCCTCACACTGCCTCTCATCGATCTCCACTCCAACACTACTGTATAACCCGGCATCATGATAAGTCACGAGTTCCGCATCCGATCCGAGAGGCCGGAAAAGGATTTCAGTCCTGTTTCGGGAAACTTCTCGCACAGCTCGATTGGCCCTGAGAAGATCAGTGACTCTCAAGTCCGATATCCTCTTCTGAAGCTGGTTGCACTCGAACGCAATGTCAGGTCTTGACTGGACTGCTAGCCA